AGACCCATTTTGGAGAGGACAAATTGAAGCCAAAATGTGTTTAAAAATTATTTGAGGTTGTTGCTTTCTGATCAATGGAGTGCAGACTGAGGAGGAAGAACTGGCTGGGAGAGAAGGAAAATGTGGTGGAAATGCAGCATTTCTCATCATTTCAGGTCAGGCTCTCCTGAAGGATGTTTAGTGATGGTACTGGTGGGCTGGTACATACTGGCTTTCCTCTGTCTTCAATACAATGCTATAATCTTGACAGAGGAGGGGAGATGCTTTGTACAGTTGTGCATCCAAGTCACAGCTCAAGATCCCTCTATGATGTGGTTGTCTATTATTGCAACTATATTGTACAGTGATATAAAAGATGAACCTAGCATTACATAGTTGTTAAGAGCAAATTTATAGCTAATATCATGACTCTTATTTCTTATAGTCTTGTCTCATTGTAACTGTTGACTGTGAACTTTTCAACAAGCTGTCTGACTTGAGCTGCTCTCCTTTTTTTCTCTCCAAAAAAGTCTAAATGTAATTCAGCCATTTCCAGAGTGTGCCTATGTAGAAAATGGCTTTTTTTTTTTTTTTTTTTTTTTTTTTTTGTTTCTATCTTTCGTGGGCTCTCTTGTGTGGTATTTTTTCCCTTTGGGATTAGTATAATTGTTTTTCTCCTTAAGTCTCTAAATAATATGTCAGTAATTCAGTTTTATTTGGACACAGTCACATCCCCTGTAATTGTTTAAGCGAATATTTTGGAGATCCTGCACTATAAATAACTGGTGGGTAGGGCATAAGTTCATATATCCGGAAAGCCTTGCTGGCTTGGCACGTCCTGTACCGCTGCAAAGCTCTGAGGTGACATGCAGCAAGAAGTTTCCCTCTGCATTATCTGTCAGCCGAAGAGGAAAATTACATTCAGCAGTGATACCCTGCCTTTATTTCTTCAGTACTGCTTCCCGATCACACCTGTGGGCTTTTTGGGAAATGCACATATTTTTCTTTATTCTCTCATAAAGCTATCTGAGTGTTACTGTGTGGTGTTGGACCATCCTCTGAGAGAGATGGCTCCTGAAGTCTGAAGAAGTTTTGACCAACTTGTTAGGTAATAGCTGTGGTGTATAAACCATTAATTGACTTGCCTAGTTTGAGCTATTTTCCTTTACAAAAAGGAGCAAGGCTCCCCAAGGATAGGTGAAATTGAAATGAAATTGCAGAGGGAAAAGATGCTTTTTGAGACAAAACAGCTGTTTCCCTACAGTCTTTTGAGATAGATAACCATTCCTCTTTAGGTTTCTCATAATCTTTCTAGACTACATAGTAAGGCAGAGGAAAGGCTGAAACAGAAGTGGTATGAAGTTACAAGCAATTCAAGTACTTTAAAAGATGTACTAGATGTACTGGTGACACTCTTACCTAGACCTGAAATGATGTTGAGAGGGAGGGATAGTAACCATCAATATCACAAAAATGAAACAAACAAAAAAAAAAAGCCCACAAGATGAAATGGTTCCTTTCAGAAAATACAGCTGCTTATTCTAGATAGTTTTGTCAGCATTCTTGGAATGGGGGAAGGAGGAAATTCTAACAGTTCATTTGAATTTAGTATTTGATATTTTAGTCATGCTCTTCTCTTTAATGCTTAAACTTATGCACATTTGCACACCTTCCTTTATAACTGCCCTTGGTTTTCCCCCCCCTTCTTTGTGAGACTATCCTGAATAACTGATGAACTGAATATTTTAAATGATTTCTGTCACTTTGCCAGTGCTGTGTGGTTCCTTCACCTTTTCAAAAATGTGATGTTATGAGATAACTTGAGGTAGCATATACAGTAAACAGGTGATATATTCCTGTCATGCGATTACACTTTGAACAAAAGTCTTTGGGGCTGTGTATGCATGAGCTATAATTCCTGCAGGGACCTTATGGCCAAGCCTGCAGATGACTAAATAGATTTGTTTGTAGAAGTGCTGAATGGGTAGATAGCAAAACTTCCCACTTGGCTCTTGCTTGCCTGTTTTTTTTTTTCTTCTTTCTTTCAAATATTATTTTTCTCTAGAATACAGAGCAGGCCTTTGTTAATGTTTTCATCTCTATTTGGGCAGGCTCTCCAAGAATGACCTTATAAAACAATCATCTTTCATTTCTATGAAAAGACCTTGTCTACTAAGGAAATCAAATGGCTGATCAGAAGACTTGTGATTATATGTAACTGAGATCTATGAGAGAATGAAAAAATTAAAAGTAGTACAAGCTATTCAGACTTAAAACTGTAATAAAAATAGTTTGTCAGCAACAGGTGTTTTCATGCTGCCAACTTTCTGTTTATTATACTGTTGTCCGTCTGGGTAGGTCTGTTGCTCATGGAGTTTCCTAGTAAAATGAACAGGGTATTTTTCTCCCTCAAATCAGTATTCTGGTGAAATCTGCAGACCAGCATAGATGAGGGAGTTGATCTTACCTTGTCCCTTTTCCCACAGGCATTGTTCCAGGGTCTGTGTTTTGCTCGCAGTGTGTGAGGGTTGTGTCAAAACATGAGAAAGGGGAAAGAGGGGTTGAGGTAGCGCTGGCTGTGGGGAGAGATGAGAGGAACTCCTTAGTATTGGAAGAGTGGGCCAGAGGGAAAAAGGAACTGAAAGGGTTTTTTGTTAGAAATGTCTTACAGGGAGGAAGCCAAAATAAGAAGCAAGCAAAGATTCTCTGTTTTCTGAATTCTGAAGAAGGAGGAAAAATTAGTGGTAAACTCTAGTACATAAGCTTTATAGTCTATGAGCTAGCATGTTCAGTGACATGAAAGCACATCTTTTTATAAAGTCAGAGTACATTTCTGGTTTGGACTTTAGTGGTGACCACTAAAGGCTTTATACTAATGCTGTTACCAGGGGCAGCTGCATTATAGTACTGCTTACGTGTTTATTCACTGTACTGACAGCTACATTTCATGTAGCAGCTGCTGAAGCCATGACTATTCAGCAAGGATGAAATGTGATAAAGCTTCAAAGAGATTTTCTTCTGCAGTATTAATTCTTTATATAGAAACAAATAGTTTTCTATCACTATTTTTAACTTTAGTCTTGTCAAAGAAATTCATTAAGCTACTGGTTAGGAGTGTGAAGTTCACTTTATAGCATTTGATTTTCTTATATATGTATCTGTTCTAGATTTGTACAACCTAATTCAGGAAAGCCATTACTATGATCGAAACAGCCCACCTCATGTTATGAACACTTTGATTTCCTTAATTCCTCTTAGTGTAATGAGGACTTAGCCTCTGGGCACAGGGAAGAGAAAATCCACGTGTAGTATACAAATGATTTAAGAAACTCTTGGCATGTGCAGAAAATGGTATCTGTTTTGGAAGGGTTATTGATTGTGTCTGCTTTTTAGCTAAGCTTTGATGGGGAAAGGGCAAACTCTATCGTGCAGGATACCAATGAGATTATCAGGTTAGTGAGCAAATGTGACCAGAATGTCTGCAGCTTAAGGGTCTTTATTCTGCTGTAATTTTTCAGTGTAGTCGTTTTTATTGTGCTGGAAACTAGATCAGACATATCTGTGGGGTTTTGGGGTTAGTTTTTTTTTTGTTTTGTTTTTGTTTTGGTTTTTGTGGGTTCTTTGTTTATTTTTGTTTTTTCTTTGTTTTGTTCCTTTGTTTTGTGAGTGTGTTTAATTGGTAGGGTTTTGTTATTGCTTGTGAGTTTTTACTTTGGGGCTGGAAGTAGTAACTTGTATGGCTGTAACTGAGGGCTCTGGGTTTGGTTCCTGCTGCCAGCCATGCTCTCATGAGCAGAGTCAATACATTTGATCATCAGTGTAAAAATATGTCTTTGCCTGGGCTGCATTCAGCCTGGCTGGGGGGTTTGTGATGTGGAAGCCAGACACGTGCTTGCAGGGTCTTGGGGTGGCTGACTCCTGACAAACCTGCTCCCTGCCTGTGGCAAAGCTAATGGTGCAGTGGGCCAGTCTGCTTTTGGGAGCTGACCCAGAGCAGAGTACAGACAGTTGTCATCTTTATCTGCATGAGGAGTTGGGCTAGTGCCCAGCAAAGAATGGCACTTAGAGGAAAAGGTTGTTTGGCCCATTTCTCTTCATCCTTCACTTAAAACTGATACTATTCTCTCTTAACTTTGAAGGAAAGTGTCTTTAACTTCTGGTGAAGTACCAGTACTAGACTCTGAGCAGTAAACACATGTTCTAAGGTGATAGATGCTGTATGTATAATCAAATCCTGACATAAGTTGCTACCAAAGGCGTCTCAGGCTTTCTCACAGTTGAGTACTGGTAGCTCTGAGAAAATACCTTTGATTCAGGGTCTGCTGCCCATGATAAAGAAGGCAGTATCAGTACTTGCATTTTACATGCTGAAGGTTCCTGAAAAGCAGTGATGTTTTGTCTTCAGTACATATACATAGGACACCAGTAAGGTGACCAAAATGAACACTAATGTGCTGTCTCAAGATGTTGCCCTCGCACGTCTCATTTTTTGTGAGCTATTACATAGCTGTGGTGATGGAAAACAAGCTGCTATATTTAACTGTATTTTTAATAGATATCAGTAACTGACATATGTTTCATATGTTTAGCTCTAATTAACAGGTTTCCAAATTTATATTAGCTAGCTTTCTGTAAGTGTTTATTTTTGTGCAGCACATGTAATGTTATATTCACAGAACTGGTCAGAAATTTTTCAACAAAACAAATGTCAGAAAGTGGCAATTTGTTGAAACTTTCTTAGGGAATGTGAAATTTTTAATGAAAAGTTTTTTCCTGAGAAGCTTTGACATGCCTTCAGTATGGGTTCTGATCTGAGGAAGAAAGAGACTGCTATGCTGGGGTGTAGTAAACTGAAGGAGCTGATATGGGATGTGCTCCTTTTGGCAGAGCACTCCATTTGGAGTTGATCCTGGTGAATCTTCTCTCTTTGGCTCATTTACATCCCAAGAGGGAATGCAGAAATACTAAGTCTCAAACAGCAAAAATTATAAAGTTTTTGCAAGTAACAAAGCCCCTGTTAGAACTGTTGCTGTTTTTGTAGGGCAGCTGACATTGGGTGCTGCACATGGAGCTCGTGGGCAGCACTGAGCACCTGGAACCTGCCTCTGATTTCGTGTGACAGTCCTGGCTCCTCCTTCAGCTCTGCCACGCTTTGGAAACCACAGCCAGCCTCCACGGAGACCTGCTCCCTGCCAGGTGGTACCGGGACAATTCTGTATGAGAGAGCTTCCCCTGGGCCAGGAGTCAGGTATGGAATAAACAATGCAGTCTTTTGACAGTCTCTTTGAAGGTATCTGGGGGAAAAGCCGCGCCCCAACTTCTCCCTGCTCCCCCTTCCCCAAACCTCATGCTCATTTAATTCCTTTTGAACATTGGATATCAAGCATAAAATGCTGGATCTGGTTGTCCTCATTCACACTGGTCTGAAAGAACAAATTCACAGGAGCTGGTGAGAAGTTTGCCAAAGGTCTATAGGATAAAGGGACACAAAAACATCTTTCTTTGGTTTTCAGGTCATGATCTGTAAAAGGCAGCTGCCTCTGTTGATTGCTATCAGGTCCCAAGGAAGGGCTGCATTCAAGGGAGGGTGGGACAAACTCACAAGGATGTTTGTGAGCCAAAATGCAAGTCTCCATCCAATAAAGTAATCTTGTTCTTGCAGGGAGTTTGTGACAGAAATGGTGTAATTTGCCTTGAGTACATTTTTTTTGCTCTCTTTAATTCCTAATGGAAATAGCTGACATTCTTTCCCTTTAGAGAAATTTCTTAGAAATTCCAGGTTTGTCTCCTCTACCACCAGGTGTTTCTGCACTGGGCCCAGTGGAGCCAGAACTTGAGATGCCTGGGCTGTGTGAGGTGTTCAGGAAGATATTTGTTGCCTTCATTAGGCTATGGACGTGACATTGCTGCTTGCCATGCTTACTGAGCTTTCCTTTAGTACTGAAGCTGGTAGTGGTACTTTTCTGATATCCCAGGCATGTAAAATAAGTTTGTTGTTTCTGTGCAGCTGCTCTCTCCTACGTGATAAAGGTAAAGAAAGCATCAGCATCTCACTTCTGGCTCCCCTACTTGTTGCAGAAGTTTCAGTAAATCATTGGCATATTCACTGTCTATGTAGCATTTGGCTTTTTTTTTTTTTTTTTTTTTAAGTGAGCTCTGTATCTTTGGAAAGTGATGCCACGGTTTCCATCATTACCTTCCCTACATAGGGTCTGATTTTGAAACACACATTTTCACTACGGTGAAACCATCTGCTGCGTGTGGGGAATTAGCAGTACTAGGCATAATGTTTCTTTATACTATCTAGAAATGTGCCCAAATAGTGCAATATGATCGGGTATAATAAGATTTAAATGCCTGTTCAGCACATAGATCTGCAGGAAGGCCATTTTCACATCATCTTGCATTGCCTTACATTATGCTGTATTGTATTGAATTTCAGGTTTTATTTGCTAGTGTCATACAGGACCTGCTGTAGTTATTACCTCAGATACATGTGTTTTTAATAATAGTGTTCTGAGATTCAGATATAGTTGAAGTTACATGAGCTGAACCATGAATGTGTTATAAGCTCTCTTGTATTTACTGGACAGTAAAGGCATACCTGTGGGTAGTTACTGTAGAATATAAAATGTGTTGTAAATTCACACATAACCTCCCAGGTGGAAACTGTGGAGCCATATCTAAGGGTGGTCAGGAGTTAGAATAATATTGTTGTTGTTCTTTTCATAAATCCATAGCATTTATACGGCTCTGAGCAAGCTATGTACTTCTTTCCACAATTTATTTATCTTCTAAGACTTCTATTTTATTCTTTAATTTTATTTCAGCCTGTCTCATATGCAAATCTGGGTGCATTCTCTTCATACAGTATTGCATTACACTTTCATGGGCATCATAGACAATGTTTCCCCTCCCCCAATACCTGATGACAATTTTGTGCCTTTTCAAGCCTTGGTCCCTTTAAAATATTAATTAATCCCTAGCCCGTAATTCTAATCTGTAATTTGCAGAAGTTAAAACTGAGGCAGAGAGGTTAACTTGCTGCAGATGTAGTGATGCAGCAGTAAAGCATGAATTAATCATTGCAGGCATCCTTTTAGAACCACTAGTGCAGGATCTTGTCGGACATCTAAGGTGTGTGTGGTTTTCCAGCTCTCAGTCCCTAAATTGCACCAGTAATCTTCAGAGCATCCCCTCTGTGTTTGTGTTGTGGCCCTGATGGTGACTGTTCATCAAGAGTGATGTATGCTGTGCTGTTAGTTACATTTCCAAACTGTCAGAACATAAAAACTACTGATGGTGAAAGGTATGGGGACACCTTTTGCTCCCTCTCTCTTTCCTGTTTCTGCAAACCTTTTGCAAATTATCAGTGTTGGAAGAAGTCATGAGGAAAAGAAGATGAACGGATGACTGAAGAAAGCTTGAGATGCTGGAAACATGATAAGCTTCTGATGTCCTTTAGCTTCCTGGCAGGCTGAAAGGGACCAGAAATCCGTTTTTACTGTTTCTGAGTTTATGAAATGCTGTTGGCTGAGAAAAAGAATGTTGAGGCCAAAGTATTGGTTTATCTCTCCTTTTGTTCAGGCTGATAGTGTCCAGAAAAAGAAAATGTTTCACACAGATCCTTGGTGTTCTATGTCAACATATAGAAAAATGTGACTTAGTTCTCAGCACACCACAGCAGTTCTCTTGCCCATTTTCTGTCACAGATCAGGCTCTCTCCATACCAGAAGATTTATGTGCTCTCCAATAATTTAATAGTAAAAATTATCTAATAATATAAATAGTATCATTTTATTTGTTTAAATTTAAAATATAATCAATAATATAAAACAATAATCTCCTTTGATTCTGACCCACTTTTATTCTTTGAAATTATGCTCACAAGAAAAATCAAATCAGGTTTTACTTTCTTTTATAGCACCTCCGTGCCTCTACTGCAAAACACTGCAACTTCTAGCAGGAGTGGGATTTAGGCTGTGGTGTATTACAGTTGCAAATATTCATCTTGGCACCATGCCAAGTGGTTAGAGAACATTTCATCTCTACAAAGAGATGAAAGAAATACAAAAATCTAATTGGAATTGGTGTTGTTGAGAGGAGTGGGAGGATTTAAGGGTAATATCTAATAACTACAAGCTATGTTCATCTGCTATTTGTGGAAGTGAAGTACTTGGAAAAAGCAAAATAGCATCTGAAAGAGCCTTCACAATAATGTATAGAATACAGATTGAAAACATTTTTATGTCCAGAATAAAGGCTTGAATCTAATTTTTGTTGTCTTTCATTTGAAATCAATAACAAAAACTGGGTTTGCTTGCTAGATTGCCCCCAAAGAGGAGTACTACCAGCTCTTGAAATGATAGATGTATTTTTCTCATCTCTCTTTCTCCAGACTCTTTAAATATGTTTGGGTCTGCCTTGGACCTAAGCAGTGTGAAGCACTAAGTATTTCCAAGAGGTTTGTGACTAATGGGCAGTGTTGGCTGGGCCACAGCATCATTCAGTCCTGCTTGTGTTGTGGTTCTTGTCTGTGTGCTGGTGTTACAGCTGGTGAGGGCACACCAGATGCAGCGCTCTCCGGGGTCTGAGGGATAGCTTTTTGGGAAGGCAGTGCTGTGAACTGGATCATGGTTTCAAGTCCATTCTGTGTAAGCTGTTGAAGGTACATCAAGGTGCTTAGATGTTATCCCCCAGTGGCAGATTCAATGAGTACCCTAGAGCCAGAAGGCTTTTATGCTATTCTACCCCTCCCACCAGATTTCCCTGCTCTGTAAATATCCTCCTCTTTTGTATTCCTCTGCTGCTTCTGCAGAACAGTGCTGTGGGAAGAGTGGTTCACAGCTTCTGGCTATGCAGCACTTCCAAAGCTAAGTACCAGACTTCCTGGGAAGTGCTGAACTGTGTGCGCCCAACAGGTCTGGGCACTTGGCTTTAATGTTTTATGACAAACAATATGATTGAGTTGCCTTGTTTTGTGGCTCTCAGCTGTTTTATTAGAATTTTTTTTGTTTGTTTTTTAAATTTCTAATCAGTTTCTCAGTCTGGTAAGGTGGTTGGCCACAAATAGACCAATATAAATGGTAGCGGTACCCTGACTGATGGGGTGTAGCCATGTAGATTGAAAAAAGTTGCTGCCAAATGTATGGCTTGCACAGCACACACCAAGAGTTTTTTTATTCCTGCAGCATCCTACAGCTAGAGGTAGGATGGACAAGATGTGAGGGAAAGAAGAGAGGCAACATAAAGTTATCCTTGTCGAACAAGATGGAACACGTCTGTTTGTTCCTGGAGACGCAGGATTACATTTAGGACTCTTAAGCGAAGCAACTGCTAAAGTCAATCCCACTTTCATCTAGAAAATGGACAGACTGTCTCTTGGTGACAAAGACCCTCTGACAGGCATCAGAGCAAGTGAAGCTTGCTGTGTCACATTTTGTGGAAAATAAGATTGGACTCATTCTATCAATCTCCTTCTCTAAACATCTTTTTTTTTTTTTTTTTTTTTTTTTTTTTTTTTTTTTTTGTTCTGGTGCACATCCCAGAGGACATGATGGTTATTGGATATATTTGTTTGCTGTGTCAGATGAGTGAAAAGTTTTACTTTGATGCTGTGGCTTGTTCTGAGCCCCTGGTAGTGTCTGTTCAGCTGAGGCTCCCATCTGAGCCTGTGGGTGTGTGTAGAAGCACGTGCAGAAACTGCCCGTGCCTGCCAGGCACAGTGAGAGCTTGCTGTTATTGCTGTCTCATCTCCATGACAGATTTATTTTCTTCTGCATGGTTACAGTGACTCTTACTCATGTTCTGTCCTTATTGGTGTCACTAGCCTCTCCCTCCGAGTCTGATCTAACGCAGGGAGGAAAATCATCTTTGCTGATGCTGTTGGACTCCTTGGCTTTGTTACCCTGCTGAATAGCAACTTGAATTTCTTGGTCTCTTGTCCAAAGTCCCACTGTGCTGCTCCACAGTATGCCAGACTGTTGGGATTTGCATCATTCCCTGCAGCCATCAGTGCCCAGTGCATAGGTGCCTTGCAACTTGCTGTGCTGCTCTTCTGCTTCCTGCAGTTCCTTGGGGAGCTTGCAAAGCCTCCAGGAGACTTACAAATTCAGGTCTCTATGTACCAAGTTTTTATGAGACAGTAAATAAACTTACCATGAATTGCTGCTGTGTTCATGAGCATCCTTAGTGGCTTGTCTGATGTTTTCCTTCCTCCCTGGCCTTGTGTGCAGAAACATTGTCTGG